TTTATTCGAACATAGCACAAGTCGCATTGAGGATGATAGATGAAGCAACTCGACTTTATTCGAACATTGGGAAAGGTTTTGCTTATTTGGCCATGATGATGACTCGTGAGAGTTGAGAGCGATACATGCAACCTTGCTTGGCAGACGTCCAACTCCGAAAAAAAAACAGTTGATTTGGAGTTGCGTATCCGTATTTGTATGAATCATTTTGTTTATGTCAGATATAAATAAATATTCAAACCACTTTGAGTTACTTCACAAACTGTATATCCAAACTGGATATCGAAGCTAGAGCTGTACTAGTACTAAACAGAAGGGAAACAGGTGTAGATTAGCTAGGATTGACTCGCCTGTATAGAAGAAGAGCAACAAACCAATAAATAACATAGAGGTCGAGCTGGCCTGCTGGGATGATCTCAAAAGGGCTAACTGATTAGTGTGTGTATATTCAAGGTTCTCTGTTTTAGACAAATTTTCATCGTAGACACTGGATACTAAGGCCGAAGGGAAAGGCCGGAAAAAAGATGACGATAAGGGAAAGACTTCAGTTTGCTTCTTTAATGGGCCAGCCTGCTACGTTTTGCAGCCCATATGCTATAGAAATCACCGGATCTGAAAGTTCGCTTCACCTTATATATCGAACATTTCTTATCACCTTCAGTCGCTTATCTCTCCACGATCTACATATATAGAAGTGTTCAAAAAAGGGTATGTAGGAATCTTTATACTATGAATCCTGGGTCCAAAAGCTGGCCGGCGAGAGTGGCCACGTCACGGGCCTTTCCCGGCCGTCGGATCGAGCGCGCGGACGGCCCAGAGCATGCGAGGCGTGGTTTTTTAGCAAAAAAACCCTCGAACTTTAGTCGAATCAACCCACAGTCCAGGCCTCCTCTCAGGTGTTTTTGCAAAAAAGCCCTCAAACTTTACCGAAATCAACCTGCAATCCAGGCCCTCTCTCTCTGTCACGGCGGCGGCGAGGCAGCTATGGCGGGGCGCAGTTGGGCGAGGTGGCACTGGCCCCCCACCATGGCGGGGCAGACCCGCCCCCTGGCGCGGCGCGCCGTGGCCCTGGCCCCCAGCCATGGCAGGGCGAGGTGCCCTCGGCCACCGGCGCGGCGGCGAGGTGGCCCCGGCGCGGCTGCTCCCCGGCAAGGGCGCGGCTCGATGGGCCCTCGGCGCACGGCGGCTCCACCGGCGCGAGCGGCTGCTGCCCCGGCGCCGCGGCGCTCGGGCGGTCTGGACTCCAACCGTCGCGGCTACAACGTCGAGCGAACTTGAGGTAGCAGCGGGGGGCTGCGGCCGTCGATTCCCATCGCGCCACTGTTGCTCTTCTTGGCTCCGCTACAGGCGAGCGATCTCCTTCCTCATGTTCATTGATCTCTAATTCTCTATGATGTTTTTGTCTTCCCTCCCTATTTGCGCCAGCACACCGCCTGTTTCTTCCCGTTCGCTGCCTGTGTCTTTCGCCGCCTTCCTCAGCATCACCTCTACCACCACCATCCCGGCGAAGCCAATAGCATCGCAAGCATACCTCTTCTGGTGCGCGCGAGGCCTCGCCCTCACCTCCTGTTCGTCGCCCCAAGCATCCAGGCGTCTGGTCCTCCCTCCGTGCTCTGCCCAGCCCCATCCTCATGTCCTCTGCATCCAGCATCATCCAATGAAGGTATAGTCTCCATGCTCTCTCTCTACGTATGTGCGAGACAGACATTTCTCACGTATTGATTAGGTTCATTCAATGTGAGATGAACTGGATAGGATCGTCAAAGTGAAAGGGAGGATGCCGCATGTTCACTGACAGATGGCATGGGGAATCAAGAGCAGCTGCTTCCAATTGAGGGAAGATGCAGACATCTTTGGTATGCTTCATGATGGACAGGCTGCTTTCTGTTGTCCTGCAGACGAGAGGAAGGTATACAGCTGCAGCACCCCCAATTCCTTTATGTGGTTCGTCATGTAAATGTTCCTACTTGGGCTTATTTTGCAGTAGTTCGCAGCTGATGCTTCAAGTTATGACCAGATTTATGTTATGCTGTTTTTGGCCCCATCTTATATGATTCACAGGCTAAGGAAACTGGACATAATGGTTTATCTGCGGCTCAAGTTCATAGTAGCATCAAATACGGATACATTTTCCAATCCAACAATTTCAGGGACTTCCGATCCTCTTTATACCAACAAGGTACATCATTTTAATTTGATTTATACATTCCATCAGATTTAGGCCATGGTGTCTTCATTTTGGATGGAAACATTGTCATATATTACCTAACCGTCATTGTTATTCTTTGCAAGCTGCATACTGGGATTCTTTAAATGTTGCCCCAAAAATATGTTGCACACACTTGTTTCCTTATTTCTTTACAGTTCATTGCACATGTCTGCCTGTGCCCACCAAACCTAAATTATATGCCTGAGAACTTCCAACTTCAGGCTACTGTGTATGCACACTGAATACAAAACATATTGTAACATTTTTGCCGATGTTATTTTACAGATGCATGATTGAGCCGGTGCAAACATTTTAAAGTTAAGCAGCCACCTGCTCCTACTACCCGTTTCGCTGTGTTCACCCAGGTCTGGCTCTTCTCTCATGTTCATGTTAGTCTGTATCCAATTATTACCATACGGATTTTCTAGCACCCTATTACCTTCATGTTACTTCCATAAATGTATGTACTTGCGTCACTGTGGCTCTTCTCATTCTTTTAGCTAATGGTGGCTCTTCTCTCATGAAGGTAAGCTTCTGCAGTTCATTTTGGATTCAAGCCCAGAATGATTTATTAATAGTAGAAATATATTAGCTTCACCATTTTCTAGCAGTACCTATAATGTATCCATCACTTACTGTTTTTTGGGCATATTTAGGCTCCGTTCGTGTGCCCTTAAACCCGGCTTGATCCGTTTCTTTTTTCATCCGAAACAGTGTTTTTCTCTCACAAATTCCTCCAGCATTCCTCCAAACCATCCAAATTCCTCCAGAAAATTCCTCCAAGCGAACAGGCCCTTATTTTCCCATTTATACCAGCTTGAACCTCCCAGAGTTGTATCAGATTCAAATGGTTGGTGCATGTTATCTCATTCATATTCTATATTCAGTAATGAATGACAAGTCAGGAAAGGTATTTCTACGACATCGGTCAATTCAAGCTAATATTGGACCTATATTTTGATAGTAAAAATTAATTTTACAAAGCACTCTGCCTCTCTGATTTCCCCAAAAAAAATTTATGGGTTTACTATTGTTATTCTAGGCTTTGGGCTTTCATGCTTGCTACGCACTATCGGCCTTCTCCGTCGATTGCTGGGAGGCTAGGATCCAATAAAGCACGTGATATTCAATTAAGAGGTTTCCTATATGTATAGTATCCCATTTTGAGATCTCCGTTTATAAAATATATAATTTTTATCTTGGACATTGGTCAAGTAGCCATATAAGCATGTTACAGATTTTTAGTTAGGCCTTGCATAAGATCAAATTTGTGACCATTGTTTTAGGCAGCAGACAAACAAAAAAAATCCTGTTACCAATAGGAAGTTCTGAAAAAAATTATGTCTTGGGATATATAGGTGGGCCCTGGTTTGCACAACATAAATTCCTTTATTGTAGAGAAGGCAGATATTGCACGAGGAATACTGCAGTAGTATATGAAATTTGCGCCCTCCAAGATGTTGCATATTAAAAGTTTAAAACTTTAAAATAGCACAGACCTTCACAACTGGCCTAGGATTGCTAGGATAGAACTTTTGTTATCCTATAGTAATAAAGAAAATCACATTACTTCATAAATGAAAAATGGAATGCCTAGATAAGCCTACCAAATGGCATCTAAACCAGGATAGAGGCAACAATTAAAATCTCTATAATAATTGTTGTCTACAGTGACTTAAGACTTTGCCTCTCTGCAGCTGTTGCATTCCCTTTGAAGAAGAAAGCATACTGTGTGATACTGCTATATTTTAGAGAGAGAAAAGAGTAAGATTGGAAGACAGCAAAGGGCGCTGGTGCCACTACAACCTATTAAGGGGTATTTTAGTACTAACCTAATTTATTTTTTCATTTCCTATGTTCAGAGTTGTCCCTGTTGTATGTATGTATGTACATGTACAATAATATCAATCAAGGGCTGCAATAATATTTTGAGGTGTTCACAAAATTTGTTCGGCTGCTCCACTTCTAGATTATTTCAGCTTATTCTCTCTCACAGAATACTATTCAATCATCCAAAACCAGCCGAGCTACAGTGCACCTATCTACCAGCCGAACACCCTAACTAAAATTAGTAGTCACTATACTTTTCACCTTCCCCAACTTAAAGAAGTTGTTTGCTTACAGTACTATATGCAAGTCCTATTACCAAGAATGTAGATCCCAATATATATATTGATTTGATTACTATTATGACACCGTGCTTAAATGTAACTAACCACATCCATATAACAATTCTCTTGTATCCATTCCATAGCAGTAAATTGTATTGCTTACCCGATATAGTGAAGTAGCAAAATTAAAAATCTAATACCACTGTCTTCACTAAAATCAATAACACTATCTCATCGCACTTCTTGCTTTATTGGAGTGAACTAGCAAAATTAAAATCTACCGTGGCAATACTGCAGAAAATATTAACCACTATTAACATTATGAACAGTAATTGCACACTGGCCTGATCCAGCGTAGGCGCGGCAACGCCGCGCCACAGTTTCTAGTTATATATGTAGATCAGCAACTCTCCATACATGCATTTAGAAAAGAGTACAAGCGCAACAAACCAGTAATTTACATCGATCCCATTATATACTGTATGCTACTAAAACTAGGGTCTCCTCTTTTTTTTTGAAACGAAACTAGGGTCTCTTTTTTAGACGAACTTTCATCGCATACTGCTAGCTACTAGTACTACCAAGGCCAAGGGAAAGGCCGGAAACAAAAACGATGAAAAGCGAAGGACTTTAGTCTCCTTTGATTTGATGGGCCGGCCTGCTACACATTGCTGCTCATCTTAAAGTTCACTTCGTCTTATATATTGAGCATTTCTATCACCTCGAGTCGCCCTTCTCTCCATACTTCCCCAGAAAGCCAGTAGATCATAAAACTGCATGCACAATTGCACATGATCGGTAAGAACTACGGATCGACTCATTCACAACAAATTTATTTCAGCACAAGTGTTAAAAAATGGTTGCAACAGTTTAAAATGCTCACGGTTCTGCAGTAGCTGCTTGTGTCCACGAAGAAAAACCGACCCTGCTCATTATCATCACCCCAAGAATCGCTGAGCTCTTCGTCAAAGGGACTGAACCTGAAAGAAGAAAGAAGACGGGCCCTGTTCTTGCTCCGCATGCTCCTCTTCCGCAGAGGAAGCGCCGCCGCCGTCGCCGAAGCCGCCAGCAGGCGCCTCGGTGCGGTCGGCCTCGACGTAGTCCTCCTTATTGCGCTCGTGCACGCCGCCTCGGTTCTCACGTGCTCGACCCGGCACCATGGAGGAGGGCGCAAGGAGCCGAGCTGTGGTCGCGCAGAGGAGGCAGACGGACGCAGCCATGCACGCGACGGGGAGGAGGATCCGTTAGGTTGGTCTCTAATCCCAAACTGGGCCCAACAGCCCAGTTGGGCCTTTGATCCGCGCCCTAATCGGGGGCGCCCAGCCCACTATGGCTGGAGGGCCCCTGTCATACTGCGCAATAAATAGAGATGGGGGCCGGCGGCTCAAGTCACGAGGTTCGCCTGAGCCGAGCTCCCCACCGACACCTAAACCCTAACCCGATCTAGAGAGGGGTGCAGCCAGTGACGGGAAGCCACCAGCCGCGCCGCCCGCTCCATCGACGTCGACATCTTCACCGCCCTCTTCACCTCCCGTCACTGCCCGTGCGCAGACTACACCGACGAACGTGATGGCGTCCTCTGAACCCTCCCCCTCTGTAGTGTTAGGTTCAACACCTTCTCCCTTCCCTCTCTGTCTCTCTAGTTCTACATGTATTAGGATGTACTGCGTCTTTTATCTCGAATAGAATCACTCTACCAGCAAGATCTATGATCCTAGTGATCCTACAGCTCCAACAATGGTATCGGAGCCGGTCCCCTAGGTGTAGATCTCGGCAGAGGTGTTAGAAAATAGAGAAAGGTCAGATCCAGTTCAGATCTGAGAAGACAAAGGGTTCAGTTGAACCCTAACCCTAACTGGGTTAAGGAAAGGAAAAGATGAAGAGGGTTTCGGCCTTAAGAAGGTGAGAGCTGAATCCTAAACCAATGAAGACTTCACGGGGAAGATAAACAGTGAAACCCTAACAAAACCCAAAACCCTAACCCTAACTTCGATCCCCATCCCCAACCCTCAATCGGATAGATCCAAAAGAAAATATAGAAATCGGATAGATTCGAAAAGAAAAGGTAGAAATCGGATAGATCCGAGAAGAAAAGAAGAAAAATCTAATCAAAGAAGAAACAGGGAAGGGGAAACGACAAACTTCACCACTGTACCGCGCTGCCGCCTCGTCGGCTCACGAGAAGAAGGGGCGAGCTGCCGGGCGCGTGCTCGCGGGGCTGAGAGAAACAAGGTGGAGAAGACGCCGGGAGATCTAGGGTTTTGGGAGCTCCTCACCGAGGGGAAAAAGGAGCCGCCGCTAGTCCGCTCGACGGCGGCGCGCGCACCGGCGAAGGGGCGCGGCAACGGCGCCATGTCACTCGGTCACCGCCGCTGCTTGCTGCACTGGCTGCTGCCTACGCTGAGAAGAGAGCGGAGCGAGGCGAAGAGAGAGAGAGCAACAGAGAGTGAATTAGGGTTTTTCCCCAGGGGCGCCGCGGCGTCGGTTTTTATTCCGAGCGAAGTCGACACGCGACCGTCCAATGCTGGATGAACGGACGAGCGTGATCGGGCCAGTGATCAGCCCAGGCGCGAGCGCGCGGGCGGGCGGCTTTGCTGGCCTAGGCCCAGGTTGCGGCCTGGGAGGCACAGCGCGCGCGTCAGTGGAGCTGGGCAGTGCCGAATTCTTGGTCGGTCCGAAGGAACAGTAAAGAAATATATTATTTTTTGTTTTTCTTTTTCCAGTAAAACTTTTATTTCTTGGAAAATGGATAAATGGCTTAAAGAAAATAGAAAAGAGAATTTTCTTATGGGTAAAATTCACAAAATTGAGATTATTTTTCCGCTGCGTATTTAAAGTTGTTATTTTCATTATTAAATTCGAACCAACGAGAGAATTTAATTTTGAAAAATAGATATGTTTTTAGCTTATTATAATATTGTTATTATTCTAACCAACGTTTATTAATGGCAATATTACAATGAGTTTTGTCATGCATTAATTCTATTTCTGCTCAACGGTGATGTAGAATTAGTGTAGAGGACAATTGTATGTTTTAATTTTGACCAACGTTGAAACTAAGGCATGCAATTGTTATTATTATGTTTATGTTCTCACTCTATGAATTTTATTTTCAGGCAGATACAACTTGATGGGTTGTATCAAAGAGATCCCCACTCTCAAAGGTGATAACTACACGGAATGGAAGAAAAAAGATTGACCTGGCTTTCATCTTAGATGAGACGGACTGGGTAGTCACCTCACCGTGTCCCACTGAGCCTGTGGCACCGGTGAGGGAGATAAACGAGGCTGATGCCGCTTGGGCAACAGGAGAGAGGGATTTTGCATCCCAAAAGATGTCATATGACCTTTAGCATAGGAAGTGGGTCACTACCAGTAAGAAATGTATGTCTGTGATAAAGAACACGATTGAGCCTACAATTGTGGGCTCAATCGCAGAGTATGACACTGTCACCGAGTACCTCAAAAGAATAAAGAGTCACTTCACTAGCTCTTCAAGGACATATGCTACCCAGCTGATAAAGCAACTAGTGACTGAGAGGTACTCTGAAACTGGTGGCATAAGAGAGCACATACTAAGGATGAGCAATTTGGCATCCAAGCTAAAACCAATGAATCTGGCTCTCAAGGAAGAGTTCCTTATTCATCTGATTTTTGCTTCCTTGCCAAAGGAGTTTAACACTTTTGTTGTCAACTACAACATACAGCCCGAGAAGTGGAACATGGAGAGGCTCATGGCTATGTGTGTGCAAGAGGAGGAGAGAATGAAAGCTGTCAATGGTGGCACTATCAATTATGTGAAAGACAACAAGAAAAAGAATAATAATACTAACTCCTTCTCAAAGCCAAAGGGAAAGGATCCCATGCTGCATCAGCCTCAGCAGAACAAGTTCACAGTAGAGAAAGACCAGTGTCTCTATTGCAAGAAGACGGGACATTATAAGAAAGATTGTCCCGACTACTTAAAGATGATCATGGCAAAGAAAGGTGAGAACATTATTACATTCATAAATGAATCCCTATATGTTCAGTATTCAAAATCTACTTGGTGGATTGACTCAGGTGCAACTGTTCATGTTGTTAATTCTTTACAGGGATTCCGTTCGACGACGACTACGCAAAAAAACGAAAGACACGTTAAAGTTGCAAATAGAGTCCGAGCAGATGTCGAAGCCGTTGGCGATCTTTCTCTAGAGCTTGCTGATGGCTTCACACTTTTACTCAGAGATGCACTTTATGTTCCCTCCTTACAGAGAAACTCGATTAGTGTTTTATGCTTGGACAATGATGGATATGATTGTTATTTTAGAAATGGCAAATGTAAAATAACATTTAATAATGCATGTGTTGGTATTGCTATCTTACAAAATGAGCTTTATTTGTTATCACTACGTGATGAAGTGAATGTTGTATGCGATGATGGGAACGTTGCGTGCGACAATGAGAATGTATCCTCGTCTGCGGATGTAAATAGAAAACAAAAGAGAGCTCACGATGCGTTGTCGAAATTATGGCACTATCGTTTAGGCTATATTTCGAGGGGGAGAATAGAAAGACTAGTTAAGAATAATATTCTTCCTCCATTAGAGCTCACAGGTTTAGAATAATGCAGAGAATGCATAAAAGGAAAATATGTAAAGAAAATTAAGAAAGATGACAAACGAAGCGCAGGAATTTTATAGATTATTCACACATACATCTATGGTCCGTTTCCTGTAAAGAGTGTGGATGGTTATGATTCGTTCATAACATTCACAGATGATTACTCCCGTTATGGCTACATTTATCCAATCAAAGAAAGAACAGAAGCATTGGATAAATTTAAGATATTTAAGGCAGAAGTTGAAAACCAACACAATTTAAAGATTAAGATAGTCAGGTCCGACCGTGGGGGAAGTACTATGGTCGTCATACCTCATATTGCCAAGTTCCTGGACCTTTTGCAAGGTTCTTATAGAAGAATGGTATAGTAGCCCAGTATTCTACACCGATCGAAACTCAGCAGTATGGAGTAGCTGAAAGACGTAATCATACCCTGATGGATATGGTGCGCAATATAATAAGTTACTCCACCTTACCGTTGAGCCTGTGGATGGAGGCGTTAAAAACCGCCATTCATATTCTCAATAGAGTACCAAGTCGGTGCCTAAAACACCGTATGAGTTGTGGACTGGAAGAGTACCCTCACTAAACCACTTACGTGTGTGGGGGAGTCCGACTAAGGCTAAAGTATTTAACCCAAACATTGGGAAGCTAGATCCCCAAACAGTAAGTTGCCATTTTATTGGCTATGCAGAAAAGTCAAAAGATTTTCATTTCTACTGTCCAGACAGACATACAAAGTTTATGGAAACGAGACACGCTGTCTTCCTAAAGGATGAAATGATGAGGGGGAGCATGGTAGCTCGAGAAATTGACCTTGAAGAGAAGCGGGTGTATGCACCCACTCCAATAATTCATGAGCCTTTTTTCTCACTACCTGCTATCGCTGCACCAACAGTGTAAGATACTGTGGTGCCAGCACCTGTTGTTATTCCGCCTGTGGCAACAATGAATGACGATATGAGGGGGAGCAACAACAGCCTCAAACAGAAGATGTGCCAAATGTGGAGGCCCATAGAAGGTCTCAAAGAGTTAGAAAATCAGCTATTCCTGCTGACTATAAAGTATACAACACTGAGGAATTTCAAATGGGGATGATCCCACCTCATTTGAAAAAGACATGAGAAGTGATCATTCATCAAAGTGGCTTGAGGCCATAAAAGATGAAATGAAATCTATGAATGCCAATAAAGTTTGAGACTTGGAAATAATTCCTAAAGGAGCGAAAACAGTAGGTTGTAAATGGGTCTACAAAACAAAACTTAACTCTTAAGGGAATATAGAGAGATATAAAGGGCGACTTGTGGTAAAAGGCTTTACGCAAAGAGAATGGACTGATTATAATGAGACCTTTTCTCCAGTCTCATGTAAGGATTCCTTCAGAATCATAATGGCATTAGTGGCACATTACGATTTAGAAATACATCAGATGGATGTAAAGACGGCATTTCTCAATGGGGACTTGGAGGAAAATGTTTACATGGCACAACCGAAAGGTTTTGTTATGGAAGTAAAAGAACGAATGTGATGTTGTCTAAAGAAATCCATTTATGGATTAAAACAAGCTTCAAGACAGTGGTACTTTAAGTTTGATCAGACAATAAGAAATTTTAGGTTT